ATAAGTTAGGTAATAAGAGGTAGTTCGCTAATTGTTCTGATCGTTCTAGTTATTGCCGTGCGGGGGGAGGTCCAGATTTTTGTTCCTCATGGTCTTAGTTATTATAGTTATTCCAACTATTCTAATTAGTTAGAAAAAATCAATCAAATAAAATACGTAGAAAAAGATGTTTGCTCTAGTTGTTCTATTTGTTCTTATTTTTTTGCCTTTGGAGGGAATTCCAGATTCATATTTGTTTCACTATTCTCATTGTTCCAAGTGCTTTAAGTATTCTAACCAACAAAAAACATCAACAGTTATGAAGAAACTGAGGTTATTTGTTCTAACTACCCTAAGTCCGATCCGGTGTTTTTTTCCTGTGGCTGTTTTTTTTGTTTGTTTAACTAGGGCTGCCCCCATGATTGGTTGGTTGGTTGGTTGGTTGGTTGGGTGTCTGGCTGGTTGGCCGCCTATTGGCTCTGATTGGGTGGCAGTTTGGAGTTGCTGGTGTCTGTTTTAAGTTGCGGGGGCTTTGGCTGGCTTAGATCTTCACGAGGGCGGGTCTTGCGGCGGTTTGGTTGATTTAGGCGAAGCGAAGGGCTGACATCCCTTTAGCGTTGCTTTAGGTTGTGTGAAGCAAGTTTTGGTCTCGTTTCGGATCGGTTTTGGGGCGTTTCCTCAAACCACCAATGCTCGCCCACAACTCACTTAACCACCCTAAAGCACCCTAAGCCCGCTGCTAAACCAGCAGCACACCTATCACAAATCAGCTCCAAACCCATTCAAAGTCAACCCTAAACCCGCCCAACAGCAGTCCGGATGTCAGCCCTTCGCTTCGCCTAAATCAACCCCAAACCACATAACTTAAACCAGCCCCCCAGCAAGTCCCAACTGCCACACAATCAGAGCCAATAAGCAACTCCAGGGCCCAGTGTGATGCTGGGGATGTTGCCTGCCCTGCGGAAAACCAGCCCTAGGAAAAAATCTTGATAGAAGCCACGAACCCGAATGCGGACACGAAAGCGGACTCTTGTCACATCTCGCGTCGCGTCTCTAGTCACGTTTCTATAGTCACGTCTCTGCTCACGCCATATCTCGAGTCTTGTCGCGACTCTCCTCGCACGTCTCTTGTCACATCCATCGCATCCATTGCATGCCGCTGGTGACGTCTTTGGTCACGTCCTTTGTCGCGTCTGTCGTAGCAACTCTGGCCACGTCTCTTGTCATGACTTTCATCTTATCTTTCATCACGTGTCTCAAGGCGCTCGTCGCGACTACGTAGCGTCTCCCATCGCGTCTTTTTCTTGGAGACGTCTCCTGTCACGTGCGTCGTCGCCCCTCGCGCCACGTTTCTGGTCACGTCTCTGGTCACGACCCTCGCGACCTCTCTTCCCACACGTCTCTTGTCATATTTGCCGCCCTGTCTCCGGCAACCTCTCGCGTCACAATCCTCGTCACGTCTCTCGTCACGTCTCTGGTCACGCCATATCTCGCGTCTTGTCGCGACTCTCCTCGCACGTCTCTTGTCACATCCATCACATCCATCGTCATACCGCTGGTGACGTCTTTGGTCACGTCCTTTGTCACGTCTCTTGTCACATCCATCACATCCATCGTCATGCCGCTGGTGACGTCTTTGGTCACGTCCTTTGTCACGTCTGTCGTAGCAACACTGGCCACGTCTCTTGTCATGACTTTCATCTTATCTTTCATCATTTGTCTCAACACGCCTCTCGTCACGACTACGTAGCATCTCCCGTCACGTCTGTCTTGGAGATCCTGTCGTGCGCGTTGTCGCCCCTCGCGTCACGTCTCTGGTCACGTCTCCGGTCACGACCCTCGCCACGTCTCTTCTCACACGTTTCTTGTCATATTTGCCGTCCCGTCTCTGGCAACCTCTCGCGTCACGATCTTCGTCACGTCTCTTGTCGCATGTCTCAAAATGTGCACCTCGCCACAACGAGAGCGATTCGACCCACTCAAAGTACGCAGAGGTTTCACTTTGCGACCTCCGAATGTGCACCGCGCCACAGCGAGAGCGATTTGACCCACCCAAACTGCGCAGAGGGTTCACCTTGCGATCTCAAAATGCGCGCCGCGCCGCAGCGAGAGCGATTTGACCCACCCACAGTGATGCGCCTGCCACGAAATCTGCACGCAAGCTCGAAAATACTGCACTTGCCACGAAATCTGCACGAAAAGCTCTAAAGTGATGCGCCTGCCACGAAATCTGCACAAAAAGATTCAAAGCGCTGCGCCTGTCACGAAAACTTACGTTACAGCGACACGTGAAACGCTGAAAATGCTGCGCCTGCCACGAAATCTGAATGTGACGCTCTCGCGCCGCATGCGGAAAACTGTAGCGCCAGAATGATTTCGACCGATTTCTTTCAAATCCGATTGCACGACAGGGCCAACGAAAATGACACTCGAGGAAATGCTTGCGCGCGCATTCCAAGCAAAACACATCAACACGACGACCCCTGAAACGCGAATCACAATAGATTTGCAACGCAAACAGGGACCCTCACAAAACACTGCGCCTGCGCAGCGAAACGACGTTGAGCACATGCCAAAAGCTACGATTCCCGCGTCATCCAAATGGCACGTTTTTCGCTGTCCCCATTGGAACTGCGACCGCGACACTCGCGAACGCATACAACCGCTTGCGAACGCTTGCGGACGCTTGCGAACGTAAAATCAACGACTTTGGTCCGTCCTAACCCCCAGACCCCCGACCTCTAAACGGGAACCCTTCTGCTACGCATTCGGGAACAAGCCCTAGAATAAAACATCGTTACCTACTCTAATTGTTCTAGTTAGCTTTCGATAGGCGGGAATTCCAGACTCATATTTTCTAAATTATTTCAATTTGGCAAAATATTCTAGTTCATTCCGATCAACAAATTGGAGCAATTTGGAAAATGCTGCCATGCTCTTCTTTTTTATATAAAAGCGATGCCATGTTTTTATTCTACTCATTTTCCTTTCGGCGGGAATTCCAGGCTCATATTTTCTTTTTTATTTCCATTGCTTTCACTATTCCAGCTATTTCTTTTCTGACCGAAAAAAATAGAAAGAACAAAAAAAGAAAATGATTTTGTTTTGCATTGAGAATTGTTATTATTTCCCTTTGGGGTGAACTCCGATCGCTTTTTCAGTTATTCTACTTATTCTAATTCTTGTTCTGACTTTAACAGGTTACAAATTGAATATTTACATAAGTTAGGTAATCAGAGCTATTTCTCTAATTATTTTTATTGTTCTAGTTTTTGTCGCGCGGAGTGGAATTTCAGACTTTTGTTCCTCATGATCAACCAGTAAGAATAATTAAATCAACTAAATTAATTAGAAAAAGATGTTTGTCTATTCGTTCTAATTATGCTTATCCTTTGGAATTCCCTCCAGATTCATAACCAGAAAAATGAAAGGAAATGAAAGGAAAACGAGGTTATTTGTTCTGACGACCCTAATTATGCTAATTAGTGTTCTTTAGGGGGACTCATAATTTTCTGAGTGTTTCAACTTTTCAATGTATTCTAGGTAATCATGGTCAGAAAAAGTAGAACAATCAGGAAAATGCTGCTATGTTTTTCATTATTCTACTCATTCAGAATTTTTCCCTTGACGGAATTCCAGACTCATATTTTCTGGGCCTGCGGCCTCTAGCCGGCTACGCATCTTTGAAGTTATACCACATCATGTCATGTTTTTTGTATGAGCAACGTATCCTGTGCTATGATATGGTTGGTTAGGTTATGCATGTTGCCCGCCCCAACCCCAGATGATGCCGGGGATGCCAGCTTTCTGGGCCCCAGCCGTGCCCCAGCCCAGAAGGCTGACACGGGGTCGCGCGCGCGCGCGTGCCAGAGGCCCCAGAAAGAGCAGCCCAAAAAGAACAGCCCGCAAGCCAGCCCGGAAACGGAAATGGAAGAAAAGACCGGAAGTAGCTAACTGCTCTGAAATCGAAACAAGCTGCATGTTGCCCAGGGACGGCGAATTCCAAATGGTTTCAACTTCCAACCAACATCATTCTACTTTAGTATTGCAGCCACTTCCTTTTTGCAATTCTACTTTGGTATTGCAGCCACTTCCTTTTTAATCTACTTTAGTATTGCAACCACTTCTTCCTGAGCAGACTTTTTGGAATACTACTTTAGTATTGCAACCACTTCTTCCTGAGCAGACTTTTTGGAATACCAAGTGGGCCACCAATTGAAAGGGGATGCTTTTAAGCAAGTGGGCCACCAATTGAAAGGGGAATGCTTTTGAGTAAGGCAACTGATAGTTTATTTTCTGGGAGGGGGGGCTTGGGGCTTGCCACTATTGTGGTCCCCTAAAACAATCACATTATTGTGGTTCAGCGGGGCTGTCAGGGGTACCCTCGTCCTGATTGTTTTTGTGCATTTCTTTAACACGGTTTAATAAAGAGTTTGCAGTTTCAGCGCTGGGGATGGTTTTCAAATTTCAGAGGTTTCAGCTGGCTTTGGGTTCTGTGGTTGAGCAACCAATTGAAAGGGGAATGCTTGTAAGCAAGTGGGCCACCAGTTGAAAGGGGATGCTTTTGGCCTTCAGACCTGCCTTTGCGGGCTTGGCTTGAGACAAAAATGATCTGCTCCATGGCTGAGTTCAGGAGCCACACGTGGTTGAGGCCAGTTTTTGATGGAGATTCAGGTGTGATTGTTTGGGTGATTTGTCGAGTTGTTTTTTGAATTTCCACCCGGCCAAAAAAACTTTCCATTTTTCTGGCCCCCTTAAACAATGAGTGCGAACCAGAATGAGGGAACAACTTTCTATTATTCAAGCCCCCTTGACTAATCAAGTGCCAACATTACAGTACCAGTAGAGCTCCGTGACGCTGGACAAAGCAACGCGCTAATAGTAAGCGCTATTCCATGAAGGACTGGGCGTGACGTACGTGTTGGGGTTTTTGGTTATTGCGCAGAACCAGGCGTCACATTTTAAAATCTCCTGCCTTGAACGCCGATGTGTCCACCAAAATCTTTTTCCGTTTTGGTCAGGACCCTGGAGGAGCCGCGCGCCCAGCTCTAAAACTTTGGCTTCCCCTCGCCCGCTCTCGACATGCTTACTCGCAGGTTGGGTAGTCTGGTTGTGTGTTGCTTGGGCCTCGAGGTGCTTGGAGTTGATATTGCAACTTTGGTCACCAGTCGGGATGACAAAGGTTTGCTCGCAGGTATGTTCTGACTCTGTGAGTAACTTGCGCGCCGACAATGTTCGCCGTGCCTGTTGAGTTGCGTTGCGCACGTGTCACACTTTGCGGCCTAAGTGTGTCGGTTGGAACAGCGAGCCATTTACTTGTTTAGGAGACATGTAAAGTCATTCGGCAGCTTGGAATTTCAATTTTCTTTGCCCATCTCAGGTACCATGCAATCATCCGACAGCGGCTGCTACCAGGCAGCTTGGTCGGTGTTTGACCCCGCTTCGCTTGCAGGCTTGCAGAATGGGAAAGTCTCTTCTTGTGGCGCATTCAGTTGAGGCCATCCAGCAGGCGTGTCGCGTGTGAAGACAACTGAAGATACGCCATTCGACGCCTTGTCAAAAGGAAAGCCAACAGCTTGCACCAGGGCCCCCAGCTAGAAGCGAAAGGAGAACCACACAAGTAGATATGCCCAAAAGCTAGTGAATTGTGGCAGGGAGGATAGGAAAGGACTGCAGCGCAGGTTTCAACGGGCGGGCCTTTGTGGCGGTCTCTGTGAAGGACGTGCCCTTTGAGTATGTTTGACATGTGCTTTTCAAGGCGCTGAAGGCAAGGCAGTTCTCGGGCAAAGACTCGCAGACTCTTACCCAAAGCCATGCAAGATTCAGGCAAAGTGTTCCATAGTGGCACCTGTGTTTGTTACATCCAAAGGGAGATCGTCGTGGATTTTTTTTGACAGGTCAAGCTTCCTGGTGGCGCACAAGCCACGGGTGTTTTGCAAAGGGCCCGCAAGACACATGCTAGGACTGCTTCAGCGTCAATGAGGCAGGGCAGGTCGTGTCTGGCCTGGTGGAGGTTGACGAGCCAGGCGCTCGGATTTGAACTGTCCAGATGTTTCACCAGTTCCGCCTTGTCCTGGTGATTTCTTGGCAGCTTCTGAACCGGCGGAAGTTTCCAACCCAGTACTGCCGAACAAAGAGGTTCTTTCAGGAATGCTTCCAAGAAGTTGAGATTTGCGCACGCTCCTTTCGGAGGTTTCGGTCAAAGGCTGTATTTGGCCAAACGGTTGTTTTTCCCGAAACATTGCGAAGGGCTCTTCCGGCAAAACCGCCAGCCTTCTCACACAGCCAAACTTGCGTGTGCGAGTATTTTTCGCGCCACCAAACCTGCGCGAGCGCTTCCAGCTCAGTTGGGAGGCTGGGATGGGAGGCTGGGTGGGGCGGGGGATGGTGTGAACCGGTGAAGGGGGGACGCTGACAGCTGTGTGGGGGCTGGCCGCGCGGTGCAGAACAGGTGTGTGTGGTGCAGGGGTGCGGCGGGGCAGCAGAACGTATGTGCGGGGGACGGCCGTGTGCAGAACGGGTGCACGAGGGTAGGGCGCAGAGCAGGTGCCGCGAGGCTGGCGTGAGGTTGAGCGCTGCGTCCTAGATCTGCAGCTCGCTCCTGAATCTGACCACGGCCTCGAAAAGCGGGTCTGCTCTGGGCCTCGCCCTACACTGAGGTTGCGCAGCAGGTACGTCTTCGAGCCACAGATCCTTGCCTGAACACTGTGGCCGAGGTCATGCCCCCCAGAATCCATCGATGATCTGGGTGCCGCTCTTCAGCGGGATCTTCGTTAAAGGCTTACACCTTGTAAGCCTTTGTGTAGCGCAGCTTGACCCAGGTACATCTCTCTGCGCTCCCAAAATCCTGCAAGCCCGTGTAAACTCTCAACACTCTTCTAAAAGATCTCTCCCAAAATCCTCCAGGCCTCTGCAAACTCTCAAATCTCTCAAAACTCTCACGCTCCAAGCTCTCAAACTCTCTCCAAGATCTCAAAGCGCTCAAGACCTGGTTTCCAGGCGTGCCTTTCATGGATGCCAAACCAGGGCAGCCCTCGAATCTGTCCTGCGCATTCCTCCTCGGACACCTTGTCCTTAGTTACCCTGAAGCCAACAACGGGGGCAAAGCCGTGTTCCGCGCGACCGTTATTGGCGACAACGATGGCGCCGACGTCCAGCTGACATTCTTGAGACCACCAAGTAGTTCAAGCCTTCATCCGAGGTTTTGCTTTGCATCTAGGGTTTTGCTTTATCAACAAAAACAGCGTCCCAGCGACTGCTGCTCTGGCCACACAGATGAGTGGCGTTTGCACGCGTGCCAACGCATTGCGCTGCAAGTCCCAGGTGGGAAAATTTTGAGGATTATAGCTCTGCGGGGATGACGCAACTGATTCAGAATATCGTGCCAGTCATCCGGAATTGTGATGAACATCCTGGTTTTGCCCAAGCATCCTTCTGGGCCGCGCTGTTCAAGTCAAGTTGCTTCTTCTCGCTGCTGTATTCGGTGTGCGTGCAACCCAGCGATGCGCTGCAGGGTTGTAGTCTATGGTTGCTTGCCCTGTCATTCTTAGGTCCTTCAAAGGTCAAATTCATGAAAGGCTTTGCCTACAGCAGCCAACGGTTGAGCACGCCCTCTCCACAAATCGGAAGGGTACATCGCGTACATCGCGTGATTCGCGTTTGCCTCTTCTGTGGCACTCACGCTCTTCAGTCCCACATGCAACGTGTTTTTGAACAAACGGTGCTGCAGGATCATGTGTGGATAAAAATGTGTCTATATATGTTGTTGATTTGCGTGCTTTGAACGATTCCCCTTTGTCACCTTATCACCCCCGCGATCCCTTGCGCAAATTGGCAAGGCGGGACTGCTGGCGTCAAACTTGCGAGATTGCCATGTTACCGTGTTCTTATACAGGAGTGTGAACGCTCACAGCGATTGTTGGCCGATTTTATGGAGGAAATTGTTCTTCAGGAGCTGCCTGGGAGGATTCACTTGTGGAGCTTCCTGTGCGATGGCTTGCAAGGGTTGGCGGGCTCTAGTTTGCAGAATTTCCCTTGCACATACTCGCGGTGTTTTTGGGGCCTAACTTGCCAAATTTGCTACAGATTAGCTTGTGGAGATGATTGGGCGGTAGCTTGCGGAATTTTGATCATCTGTGAACTTGCAAGGTTGTTGGCATCTCTGGCAGGGAGTGTTGGGGTCCAGCTTGCACAGAGACCTTGAAACATGCAGGTTTGACTCTGGCTTCTGCCATGTCCCAAGCTGGTTTGAAGAGATTCTTGCATGCTCTTCCCCACGGAATCTCTTGCGCTTTAGCTTGCAGGGATTGTTGGGCTCTGGCTTGCAGAATTTCCTTCGCGGAAGCTTCTAGGGATTGTTGAACTTCACTTTGCGGATTTTCCGCTCGCAAGCTTGCAGGCGTTGTTGCATGGTGTTTGGCTTGGGCAATTCTTATCGGGCTAGCTGGCCAGAGTGGTTGAGTTTTGGCTCGCCTGGCTTGCTGGGCTTTCTGTGCGATCGCTTGCAGATCTTTGTGCAGCTTCCTGTGTGTGAGCCTGCCTAATGTTTGATGTTAGCTTGCAGGGATTTTGGGGACCTAGTTTGCACAATTTCCTGAGCATTGCCATGCAGAGGTTGCTTGGGAGTCTAGCTTGTGGAATTCCTGTACTGCCCAAAAGCTAATGCCAAGCAGTGTCCGCAAGCTAGACCAAAATAGCCAGCTCACGAGGATTTCTGCAGCTAGACCCCAACAATCCCTGTAGCAACGCGCTAAAAAGTCCGTAAGCTAGTGGGAAATGCCTGCAAACTTGCGCCCGGAATTCAACAATGTCTGCAAGCTCACGCTGTGCTACTCGCAGGAGAGTTGCTGGATAATTGTTTGTGAGGAATGTGGGGCTCTTCTTTGCGGAGTTCTTTTTCGCAGTAGTTTCGGGCTGTCACGCAACGAATTTTGTGACGAGTAATTTTGTGACGAGTTCGGGTGGCGCACCCCTTTTGTGACGAGTTGAGCTGTTGCACCCCCGGTTTTGTGACGAGTTCGGCCGTCAGACCCAGATTTTGTGACGAGTTCGGCTATCACACCCTGATTTTGTGACGGATGTCATTGTCATTTTTCACAAAATGTGCGGGACAATATCTGCGCTAAGTTTGGCCGGGGTAGGGCCAGGTGGTTTGTGACGAATGTCATTGACATTCTTCACAAAACTTTCAAGTTTGGTATAACAGAGCGCGCAACAAGCGGGCCGGACTTTTCGGCAGACCAAATAAAGTGATTTCTGGTTTGTTTTGTGACGAATGTCATTGTCATCCTTCACAAATCTGCCGCCCCCGTGGGCATTCAGGTTTGTGAAAGAAAGGCCTCTCAGCAAAAAAGGCCTCTCAGAATTTTGGCTCATGAAGCCAAATATTCCGTCACAAAATCCGGGTGTGACAGCCGAACTCATCACAAAAGAGTGCTGCGACGGCCTAACTCATCACCAAATCCGGGGTGCGCCGTCCGAACTCGTCACAAAATTCGTTGCGCGACAGCCCGAAAAAGTACTGCAAAAAAGAATCCACAAAGAAGAGCTCAACATTCCCCACACACTTCAACTCCCAAGGGAGGGTGCTAATCCTTCGAGTACAACTGATGAGTCTCGAGTACAACTGATGAGTCTCGAGTACAACTGATAAGTCTCGAGTACGATGAGTTTCGGCTCGCAAGACGCTTGGCTTCCGTTAGAATCGAAAACGCTACAGAAGCAACAAGAAGCACTTACAGCGGCAAAAGAAGAGGGCCAAAAGGACTTTCAGAATCACTCAAATGTTGCAGGTACACAAGGCTGATCAAGCCTTGCATCCCCAGTGATGCAGCTTCGTTGGGCAAGGTTCATCACTGGAGGCCTTGCCGCTCTGCGGTTGAAATCATAAGCAATTGTGGTGGCAGGGTATTCTGCCACTCCGCACACACACACGCCCCTCCACGACGGGCGTACATTCTCTTTTGCTTCCGGAAGATCACGTGCTCAACTCCCTAACGTCTACCAAAATATCCACAGCGGCGGGGAGAACGAGAAATTGCACGCTCTGTACGATGCCGCTCAGAAGACGGGGACGAAGGATCTCCAAGTTGAGCAGGACGTGTGCCGCCATAGAAGACCGGCGGAAGGTGCAAAGATGACGGATGTGCAACGTCGGACGGCGGGGCGTAGGTGAACATTTCCTCGACCTGGATGGAGATGTCCGGATTGTGTAAGCCAAGTGGTTGATCCGGAGCGGTGGAGAATGACTCATAGCGGGACAATACCCGTTGGTATCCTTGATGCTGCCAATCTCGAATAGTCCATGCTGGTTCATGAGTCTCCTCATCTGGATCGGTCACCCGTTTCCACTCCTGAAAAGTGTTCTCTGGCAGGTACTTCATCATGGGGGTGCCATAGCTGAGGTTGTCCAGGAATATAGATCCGCACCCACTCACGTTCCTGCCAGACTGAATACTCCAGCCACGGGTGCTGAATGTCAGTCCGGGCCGACGTCTGAGGTGCATCATCTGTGCGCACCACAGGTTCCGATCCAGCTAGAAAGGAAACAGTCAACATGCACAACCATGCACAACCAACAAGCACACATGCAAGCAAGAGAACATGAAAGCACCATCTTGTACCACGGTCAAAACTCATCAGTCTACTCAGCAACTAGTTCAAAGATGGGCTTCTCCTTGGTGGCAGAGCTGCTAGGTTGGCTTGACGCGCGCGATCCGGCAGCTGCTGACCGATCCCTGCTTGAAGACGAGCGAGATCCTCAGTAGAGAAAGCCGATGCGTCCGAAGATCGAAGAATCGCGTCCAACATCTGCGTAGACATGCACAAAGCCGATGATTGCGTGGCCGCGTTGTGCTGATCAGGAGAAAACATCGAATTGAAGCCGTAGTCAGGTTCAGGAGCTGCGGCTGCGACGCGCCGGTAACCTTCTGTGGTCCAGTCCCGCTTGTACCAAGTACTACCGGTGGGTTGAACACCGTCATGAGCATGATTTAGGGCATAGAACTTCTTCCATTCCCTGT